ATACTGGGATTCCAAAATACAAAGAAATATTTGGAAAGACAAAATGGCATTACACCATAGAGGTGACATGGACATTTACACGAGTGGGATATTGTCATTCATTCGACCACTGAGCAAACCAGAGGGTCAGAGCAGACTCGTTGACACTGATATACTGAGCCAGGGGAACAAGTTCTGGGACCCGATTACCATTACAGNAATCACACCCATCCTTTTAAGACCTTGTTTGGTGTGAAAACTATATTCGCCGGACTAGGGAACATCGTTAGCAAGTAATCCATAGTAAATGAAGGGCTGATGTCTCTACTAATAAATGTTTTTACCCAGGGTTTTTTAAGTATACTTGTGAGTTTAAGAGAAAAGAGTTTAAGTTAGACGAGAAGCTTCCCAACCGTTAGGCGAATGCAATACACCGATGTCATAACAGACAGTTATTTACTTACACGTCACTTACATAAGAAAGAATCAGATCAAACACTTTTCGTTCTAATGCGAATAGTCACTACCAATGTTACCTCACGACTTGGTGCTCAGTTCGTATTCATTCTTGTTAACTACTTTATAGTACATATCGAAAGATCATGGTCTAGAAAAAAAATAGCAGAAATCAGGACGAAAGGCCCCGGGCATCATTTGCATGCTCCTGGCCCCTTCCTGAAAGTTTATTGTGCATTTCCACAATCAATAGAAGAAAAAAGTAAAAGCATTCATAATAATAATGCTACACATACACAGACCTCACCACCACCTTAATGACTCATTCACTAGTGTTATCATGTAGAAACGGTATTTCATCTGTTATCCACTCAGAGAACGCTTGCTTTTTAAGGCTTCGTAGGCCAATGGGGTCAATGAAATTTTCAGTTTGAACAACCTAGGATCAACATTTTCACCATTATCCGTTGTCTGTGTGACACCTGCTTGGTAGCACACAATTCCACTCCAAATGAAATGTATTTATCGCTTGAATCCCAAAGCTCGGAGCTACAGCATAAACATAAATGGAGAACGTGTAGAGAAATGCGGAGGGGGGGGGCATAGATTGGATTGAAAATTGAGCATTTACATTGCCTAGCGGACTGCTGCTTGATGACATACTAATGTACTTTGATCATCACTGCTTGCTATTTTGCGCCCATCGTGTTACCTTCTACTAGTGTAGGTTGGCTTGTCATTGTTATTGCAACGAGCCACTTCTACGTTTGGTGAGGGTACGAGGATACGCACTCTTCTTCCGACGGATACATTCTCATGGTTGAAGTGGTGTGTGTTCGCATGCCTTGAGATTAGTCATTATCCGAGACAGTGTACTATACGTTTTACCAGTGTTCAGTGCCTTCCGATGCAGAAATAACTTGCATGACAGCAGGAGTCTGATATGTGCTGGTATGCGCATGCGTCCAACTGCAGACTTGTTACCAAGACTAATCATTTTACGTGACTAAACAAGGTCAAACATCATCAGGTTTGTTGTATCATGTTTTTATCGTGAATCTACTCAGTGGAATATGAGGTGTGCTTTCTCCGCATTGAGTCGATCAGCCTGTGATCTATAGCCCACAAGCCTTGACATAGTAGTCCGATGCATTCGCCAGTCAGTCAATATATAATCAATACAAGAAGACATGTGGGGGAACGATATTGGTCATCTTGTGTGGATGAAATGGATAAAAGAAAAAAGGTTGTTTTGAATAATCAGTGTGTTGACAACTCCGGAAACCATCAAAGATACTGCAGATCGACCCTATCGGACTTCGTTCTTGACAGACACGAATCGCTGTTACCTAGGTGCTCACTCATTATAATTTGACGATTAGCATAGATAGCAGGGTTTTAACAATGCTGAAATGTTATCATTTCAGAGATCATTCAGTGAATGTCGACGTGTTTACATGTGTCGGTGAGCAACGTTGTGTTGTGATAGTTAGTAAATATTGCAGTTTGCACACGCGAGTTACCAGTGTACCCAGTCTGATCGGGGGTATCATTCAACGCCAACGCCTTTCAGATTATTTTTTTATTTTTTTTTTATTTTCGGTTTTTAGGCTGTTCGATTGCTTTCGGCGGAATTCTCCCGTTCATTGTTGGTTTGTTAACCACTTCAGTATCCTGGTTATTTCGGATTTATTTTTCAAGTGAGATAACATAAGTATGTCATGCATGTGTTGCTTTTCGCGTAGTGGTGCCTCAACGTATCAGATAAAACAGTTGTGAAGCAATATTCCTGTTATTGCTCCAAACATCCGGTGCCATCGTATAAACCGGCTCTTTGGAAACGATCACCAAGCATCTTTTCTGGCAACAAGTAAAAAGATACTGTCTGAATCCGTTGATACAGTTTGAAAACAGATGGTATCAATAATCGCTTCCGGGGTGAATTAAAGGTTTAGTAAAACAAAATTCATCACATAAAACGATTTATCCACCGACGTAGAACCATTGAACCTGAGGTGAACGAAAAAATGAAATTATTTATAGGTTTGTCTAGTGCTGTTCTCAGTCCACAGATCTCCATTTTCTCGTGATGGAAAGGTGAAACAGATGATCAAACCAGACAAGTATCGTGGGTGACAGGAAAGGTACCAATTGTATAGCAGAACTTACAATAGGACACGAATATTGGATTCACCAGACCAGGNTAGCTTACGTCAATGACGGTGAACTGATAGATGATAGTAATTTTTGATGTGACGCCTGGTTAACGGAACGGTTAAAATAATTCAACTGAACCTAGAACGATCGTGTATGGGATCAGTTTCAGATCAATATTTGAAAAATAGCAGCAACCTGTTACTTCCACACGTTTGATATACAAAAATTGTACAATCAACATAGAATGAGGAAGTACGATGTCACTAGTGGAGTTCAAAGAAGCTGAAAATTAATCCCTTAGCATATTTCTACTGACTGTGTCCTTGTACTTAAAGTTTAATGAGTGGTTGAAGCGATGATGATCTGGCAGTCAGGGCAACTACTATTATTCACCGGTCCACAAGTTCACATTTGCAATCCATCCATTGCTATTTCAGAATGATGGGCAGTTTTGCCATCGTACATATTAATCAACGGCTGGCGGGCAAGCATGGTGCCAACGTCACAGCAACAATAACTAACAGGAGATGGATGTATTGGGATAAAGAATGGAGTGAAACGAAAGTAAAACGGTCACAATGAAGAACAACAGATAACAGGAATGACAACAAATGTTGTGACCACACTTTACACTTTTTGCTATTTTCATGTGTTAGTTTGTCGTTTGTTTACGGGGCATGGGACCCTAACCAGAAAGCCGGACAGCACAAACCGAAGCCAAAGCTAAAGATAGCTTCTTCATACCTCTACGTCTTGTCACGGTTTGACTGCCCCGACGTTTCTTCCAACTTTTCAAAAAGAGCAGGGCAAGGTAGACGATAGACAGGCGTAGGCAATACGCCATCAGAGGCGGCGTAGAGCGATTACTTCTTTTTTGAATCTTCATTCTGCTGTTCTTTTCTGAGTGGCCAAAAGACAGCAATCAAAACCGGCGCACGAAAGTGCATGGTCAATGATTGTAAAGACTGATTCTTTTAGAAAATGACTAACCGCACTCAGCACAACGACGAACCTCTTCATTGCTCACCCGATGTTCCCACCAGACATGGGCAATACTTCTGAGACACTGGTAGTCGAAAAATTTTAGTTTCAGTTTTTAAAACCATTAACCTTGCAATTTCCTGTGCCGGTTTTGGTTACTGTGCTTTGGCCACCCATTTGGATAAAAAAGCAGAATGAAGATTGGATTGTTGAATGGTAGTCGAAAACAGAAGGAAGATTAGCACCTTTCGCTCGGAGAGGCTAGATTTCAACCGAACCGCGGCGATATACATCTTTCCCTGAAGGGACAATCGGATGTCATGGCAGCGCCACAGGTGTCGCAGGTCGGCGAAGGCTGCTTTAGCTTTCGCTATTCGTGACTTCATCTCTTCCCCAACACCAGCTGCGATCAAGCACCTGAGCTATTTAGAGCTCTNCCAGCTGATCACCACAGAGGGTGAGCGCAGGCACAGGCTCCTGCCAGTCTTGAACAAGCACTTTTCAATTTGATGGTGCAAAGTACATACCATACCTGGATACCTCTATCGCCAAGCGGTTTAAAGCTTGTTGGACCGCCTGTGCATCGTCACCCAGCAAGGCGATGTCATTGGCATATTCTACGTCAAGAACTTTATTCCCCGGGAGGAGTTGAACTGCGCCATTTGCTAAATCGAAAAAAATTCCGTAGAAAATCCTGTAAGACACAGTTGAAAAGGAATGGGGATATAGAGTAGGCCTGTTGAACTCCAGTGGAGACCGTAAAGAGTGACGACAGCTGACCATAGACCGAAACCAACCTGAGGTATACAGCTCTTTGAGGATTGACACATACTTCTCAGGCAATACATTCCTCAACAGACGGTTCCATAGTGCGATTCTATCGACAGAGTCGAGGGCCGCGTGGATGTCTAAGAATAAAATGATTGTTGATCTTTGATGGGCATGACGATGCTCCAGCAGCTGTCGGAGGGTGAACATTTGATCAATGCATCAACGACCAGCGCGAAACCCTGCCTGCTTCTCACAGGTCTTCTGAAGCATAGNAGTATACAACAGGCGGAGAATGACGGACACCAACAGCTCTAAAGCTATTGGGATAAGGCTTATACCACTATGACTGGTGCAGTCACTGCGCAGACTATTTTTAAAGATGGGGACAACAATCGATTCCCCCCACTCGGGGAGCGACCTGTCCGTGTGCCAGGCTTTGGAGAACAGAGCCACCAATTCTATAACAAGCTTTATTCCGCCGGCTTTAAATAGAGCTGGTGGAAAGCCGTCGGAGCCTAGCACTTTGTGACCTCCCAAGGCTTGGATCTCCCTATGGATTTCCGATTCAGGCGGGTCTGTTGAGACAGACCTTGGGACGTGTGCCGGAGTAGCTGTGTGAGAAGCTGACGCTGGTAACCAGCTAAAATGTACCTCGACGAGCTCCGCTCAGCGTGCGAGACCTTGCTGTTCATTATGAATTGGCGAACCGTCAACTTCGCAAATTATTTCGTTCACACCCAAGGCTTTTCTACCGGTTACCCACATGAGATGAAACAGCTTACGCGAGGAGGGCAGACACCAAGTAGCGTACCGGCAGTTGGAACGTTTGAAGTTCGTACTGGCGAGGAATAGGCGTTGGTTGGAACATAGTCAGCAGCCATTCCCCATTTTTTTAAACGACAAGAATCTAATCCGAAAGGACTTTACAGATGCGTCTCACTCGAGGTCAAACGGGCCACTCTAGCATTCATA